TGCTCGCTAATTGATTTGTTGACTGTTTGAATGCCTACGTGATGGTATACGGATATTATCGGCCTGCCTTCCTATGTGTTGTTCACTTCTGCTTGCTCACCGGCCTATGGACTGGCTACGTGTATGCCCTCGACAATAAGCGTGCTACGTAACGCACTGCGTGCTTATTCACCTACATAAGCGGAATACAACTGTGGTCAGCCGTGAATATTTATCGCAGACTATTAACGGGAATGCCTGAGAACCCGGCGGGATTTTAATGTTTCCATTTATTTGTTTCAGTTTTCACAACTATTAACGATGTAAATCACATGAGATCCATGGATGGAACGGATCTCACTGAAAAACTTTGGCGTCGTGCTCATGGTTATTGAGGATCGACGCCTGGTGTTTTGGTTTTTCATTCGTCGTGGCTAAACACGCCAATTCTCTCAATTAACCACGTAATTTTGCGCGCCGGTTTTGGTTGCTGCCTTTGGGTGCCCATTTGGATAAAGGAGCACAATGAAAATTGGAATGTAGAGAGCAAATTCAAGGGGCAGAAAGAAAATTCATGAAGACCGCGGTTGCAAGAATAATGAGTAGATGCACGAGCGTCACTGTTTGCGACACCCAGCCATTTCAGTGGGTGTTTGTAACCACTGATTACAATGATCCCAATTTCTCCACTCAGGAAGTCTAACTGGAGCTATATGACCCAGTCTCCTAGTTAGGGGTTTCGTACTCTCATGCTAAGTCTTGGGTTGACCGCTCTTAACCTTTTTCAACCACTTTCCGCCTCGGAAAACGTCGCTGACTGTGACAACCCATTTGGTGACATGCGCAACACGTCACCTAACCACCGTAGTCTATGGAGGTCGACCACTTGTTCCAGTGGACGACTGTGACTACCTAAAACTCTACACCTGACCTCAACATTACTCATGCGGTTACCCCACCAGACTCGTAATGGCCAAGTCTCTGCACTGTATAGCAGCACTGGTCGAATTGCTGCAGCATACATTCGATCGTTCACGGACAGCGGGATGTGGCGACGGCACCATAGATGTCTAAAGTTGACAAACGTCAGCCATATCGTTCAGTGTCTCTAACCATTGTTGACCGTGATCTCGGGGTCCCCAGCCAGGGCGCCTAACGGGACCTATGTGAGCCAATCTCCTGTTCAGGGTTTCCATACCTTGGCAACCTATTTGGTGACGTGCATAGCACATTCCTCGATCAACTTAATCTACGGAGGTCGATCACGTGCTCCAGTGGACGACCGCGACTGCCTAAAGCTTTACGCCTAACCTCAGCATTTCTCGTCTGGTTACCCTACTGAACTCATGCAATTCTGCGTAGACAGCGGTGTTCAAACACCGACAGTTTATCTTTGTCCTGCTTCCTTAATGGTCAAGTTTCTGTGCCGTATCGCAGAACTACCGCGGCATACACTCGACCCCTAACCGACAGCCGGATGTCGCGACGGCGCTACAAATGTCTCAAGTTGGCAAATGCCAACCGAGTCTTCTGTATGGGAGCAGACACTTCATCTGTGATGCGTCCACCGGGGTGAGGTGTAGCTACCCAAATAACAAAACTTATCCANACTTATCCACCTGCTCTATTACTTCCCCAGTTAGAGTGAGGCTGGGTGCTGGACCAACCCAGTCTTGTAATAACATTTTACACTTTGAAGGTGCAAAATGCATACCGAACACGGCTACACTAGCACTCAAACCATCCGGAAAAGCTTAGAACTTACCTGGATGTTCACTTAGTAGCACAGTGTCGTCTGCAAACTCCAGATCAGACAATCTGCCACCTGGGAGCAAATCGATACTGCTATCCTCGCACGGGGATAGGGCTGTTTCAAGAATTAAATCTACAACAAAGTTAAATAGGAACGGAGAGAGGGCAACCCTGTCGAACACCACTTTCCGTGGTGAACTCGGGCGAAAAAGTACCGTAAGCTCGAATTCGGCTTCGGCTATTATTGTAGAGGGATTGTAATATTAAAATAAACGACTCGGGCCCATCCTTTGGGGTAAGGCAGCTCCAGAGTTTAGAGCGGTCGGCTGAGTCGAAAGCCGCTTTCAGATCGAGGAAGATAGAATTTGTGGGTCTATAAAATGAGTGTCTGTGTTGTAAAATTTGTCGAAGGATGAAAATGTGATCCATGCAATCTCGATCATGCCTAAAGCCAGCCTGCTTCTCACGGGTGCACCGTTCGCGTGCGACAGTCACTCAAGGAGCAGTTTAGGGACGATGTCGATTGAACTAATTTTTTTGTGGCTTGCACAAGAGGATCTGTCATTCTAAATCGGTATGATGTTTTTTTCACTTGTTGTAAAAAACAGTTTCCCCAGGTTTCCGTAGAAGCTTCGTGGTGTATGCGAATCCGGCGATCAGTATATAAGGGCCAGAGTTGCAGCATCGAAAATTATGCCTTTTGTTATTGGGTATGTTACTTCTGTCTTGTAAAGAGAAGTCTCCTTAAAGTAAATGAAGTTAAATATCAGT